GATGCCACAATGATCAGTAAATTGAGCCAGTACTACCTCCATTGAACAATCCTAGAAAGCCTCTATCCATTCTAAATTCACTACAGCCCTATCCAACCTTCTAGCAAGAGGATTACCAGACTGATTGTTTGTCCAGGTAAACCAAGGCCTTGTAGTTCTATAATCCAGCAATTCCATGTCATGCAACCAACCCTCAAAATCATTCACACCGGAGTTCTTCACAGTTAGGTTAGAAGTTTCTAAGGGATGGATTACTGCATTAAAATCCCCACCAACAACCCAGGGTCTACCTTGTACACAAAACTTACTCATCTCTCTATAGGTAGAGCATCTTTCAGCTTCATCATTTGAGCCATAAACTGTTGTAAGAAAGAATGGAACCTTATCATGTCCCTGAACCAGAGCATGAACAAAATTCTTACCCTTCCTCAATACACCAAGAGTGATATCAGAAGACCAGAACAACCAAATCCTTCCTAGATCAGAGTCAACATAGACCAACTCTCTTTCCCACCACCACATCAACCTTCAACTTACTCAGGACTCTCATAAAGTCCCTTCTCTTAGGGGGCCTGTTGAACCCCCTAACATTCCAGAATAGGATATTCATGGAGAAGAGGGCTTTCGCCCTTTCTTTCTTCCACCCCTAACAGGAGCTGCCTGCAGTCTGCCCTCTTCCATATCACCCAAATCACTCAGCAAATGAAAAGCTTAATTTGAAGTTTTCAAAACACTAGTGGGACTACCCGGAGGAGACCAGCAGCGTGGCCTCAACCAATTTATCACTTGCTGAAAGTCAGCATCTGATGACAAACCAGGCGAAGCAACATCAACAGCCACCTCTTGAAAATATTTTTTCATGTTAAGACCTACTGAGGAACATTTAGGAGATTCATAAGCCACCACATTTGTACCAATATTCACTATTGATGGAGTATAAGAACAACTAGCAATTGGCAGCACTATATCATTTCCCTGATCCTGCAATACAGCCTTGCCCTTATCAACCTGATCCACACTCTCAGGAACCACTCCAACCAACTCTTTTACCTCTTTATGCTTCCAGATCCTCTTCATGGGTTTGCCACCACAGTCACAAGGGCTGAATAGTTTACACCTTGAACAGACATCTGGTAAATGGTAGTGTTCTACCCCAACTCAAATTGGAGGCCCCTCATCTGGATACAACTTCACATCATCTGAAAAAATTCCTTCAGACTTCAGCTCAATCAATACCCGAGCAAACCCCATTCAAGCTCCTCTTCTAATAGTATGATCCACACCAAGCGACACCCCAATCCAACTCGCAATACGACTAAGACCCTGATAATCAATATATTCCAACGGAATATTCGTAAGTCTGAGCCAGATCGGTAGAGCCCCACGCCCCATGTCCTCCGCACTGATCATTGTCTGAGCCAGATCGGTAGAGCCCCACGCCCCATGTCCTCCGCACTGATCATTGGAGTCCATGGTCGCAAGTAAATATAGATTTTCATAATAAAACTATGGACCGCTCTTCAGGATCCAGTAATATGTAGATTGGGATGGTAACTGGATGAGGAGCAATTGATCGGAGAGCAGTGATACCCGAATCAGACCATCACGCCCCCAGATTCGATTCGCCCAGCGACGAACCACCAACAAATCTGGAGATTGGAGGAACTGACCGACGAGACAAAGTTTCCACTTCGCCGCTCCAGCATCTCGAACCTCCTTTGGCATCCGCAAACCCCCATTAATGACTTCAGGCTTAACATAGCAAAACCGATTTTCCTCCGCTATTCCAAACAATTGCGCCCATGGCTTAATCTGCTTTCCCTTAGTCGTCACAGGAGCGCTTCCACCATTACTCGTCATCACCCAGAAAGAAGAAGAAGTAGAAACACCGGCGCAGGTGCCGACGAGATCCGCCAGGACCAAAGCCCGAAACCTAGCGAACAATTTGCCTTCTGAGGATTTTCTCTCACTAGTTTCTCTCACTGGTTTCTTTCTTTTCCAATTTGTGTATTTTTCGCTTTCTCTTCTCTTGATTACATATTGTGTCCATATTTATTCTTATATTGATTATTGAATTACTACTTTTTTGTTCTGAAATTTATGAAACTAAGATGCATTTTTTGAGAAACATGAAACTAAAATGCATATTAATAAAGAATGTAAGGTGCCATCTTCCCTCTTATGGTTTAAGCACTACATATCATTGTTTACCTATCGTTAAATCAAAGTCTTTCTAACTTGAGTACGAGCTACAATGACTTTTATTATTGTCGATTTTCCCCAAAATATTAGGTATGTTGCTTTTAGTTTTCGCCTTCTTTACAGTTTGATTTAGCTTTTTATGTGTTTCTCTATTAGTTGAACTTGCCAGTTGGAGATCTGCATGCTTCGACTACATTGATGTCATAGCTAGTGACTTCTATATGAAATGCCACTCCAAACATGAGTGCGTGAGTTAGTTTGTTTATTATTAAGGACACTCTAAACATATACTTTGTTCCATTATATCATTGAATACACTAAAGTCGATGGAAAAGTCGAAACATTTTATAGTATACTGAAGATTGATTATGCATGTATGATGTAAAACAACTCTTACCACTGTTCTTCTTAGACGTTTTTATACCAATACGATTTCATTTGAAAATATGTATTTATGTTAGTCTAGTTGGACGTTGTTCGTCATTTTTTAAACTTCATTAATCAAATACATCAAATACTTTCCTAAATTCTTAATGGAAAAATTACCAAACTAAATAGTTACTTCAAACCCCAACGACATGAACCATAACAAAAATATATACCTACACTTATACATGACAGCAAGAGAATCAAATTCTCTCGGCCAAAAGACGGGGCCATAATCTAGTTGTTATATGAAAAGGATAATGCTTATCTCTAAATAATAATAATAATAATAATAATAATAATAATAATAATATCTCCATCGCTAGCGGAGCAAAAGGGAACTAATCCTGTTTTGGATTAGGATGAAGTCACAACGGCGACAGCAGGCAGTGGAAGGTTCTGGTCCACAGCCGGTGTTCTGATGTCTAACTGCAGAGATAATTGCCAGTCGTCGACTTGCACCGAAAAGGACGAACCAGTCGGCCGATGAAATCAGACGAAGTTTAAGGTCCTACAAAACAAACAAACGGAAGAGCGCCCTAGAGAAGAGAGATGTGGTCGTCAAAGAACTGGTTTGCGGTGAGGCAGCTGTGGGCCAGCCTAGATCAGAAGTCGGTCTTGGCGAGGCAGGCGCGAATTGTGCTCTAATTTATTGAATCGACGATGTGACCCTGCATCAAGGACGAGAACCCTTCGATCCGGTACTCGTCGTAGCCGCGGTCGGGGATGTGGTAGCCGTCGTCGGTCTTGATGACGACGATGGCGAAAACGAGGAGGGTGAGGAGGAGGGCGAGGAGGATTGAGCTATCAAACGACGTATTTTCAGTAAAAAAGGAAGCCACTGAAACCGGCCAAACCCCGGTTTTGGTTGACTACCGGCTAGCTCTATAATATGGCTGGCCGTTTACATGTTCGGTTCCGACCGGTTGAACCGGACGGCCGGATAAGGGTTTGACAACCTTGGTTCAATTTTTCTCCAATTGTGTTTGTTTCCTTTCCTTAATCAATGGTCAACGATAGTTTAACGACAGCTTATAGACTTTTTCTAGAAATATCACTAAATAAAAAAAAATCTAAAAATACCATTCATTTTTGAAAATTTTCAAAAATACCACCATTTTCTGAAAATTGTTTGGGGAGGACACGGTTTTTGCTGAAAGCCGCATGGGGCAGTCCAAATTGAGGAATTTTCGATTGCTGGCTTGGAAACCTGCATCATTTTCCCTTTGCTTGAATTGGTGTTTGGATCATTGATTTATTTTCATCGTGGAAGTATACTGCAATGGTGGAGACAGAGAGAGGTGGAGGTAGTTGTAGAAAGAGAGTTTGCAAGGGAGGAGATACGCAGTGAGGTTTTCGATGTAGAAGGCAACAACGGAAAACGGAAGCTTCTCGAATAAGTGTTCCAAGTATAGCCACACAACATATTGAAGATATCCAACCTGATCCTTCGCTTCTGTATAATTTGTGGAATTCAGAGACATTATAAACACTTGAGTGTTGATGAGTCGAGTTGAGTTGAGGTTCGACTCGTTTAATTTAGAGACACTATAAACCATTTGACTGTTAATGAGTCGAGTCGAGTCGAGTTTTGCCTTGTTCATGTTCTGCTCGTTTAATTCAGAGACACTATAAACCCTTTGACTGTTAATGAGCCGAGTCGAGTCGATCTTTGCCTTGTTCATGTTCGGCTCGTTTATAAACGAGCCAAGTCGAGTCGAACAAGAGCCAACTCGTTTATTAAATTTTGAAACATCATTAAGATCGAAAGTTCGGCTCGAACTCAACTCTAAGATAATTATTATACTATAAATACCCAAATATTTATATATCATATGTGATACATGTGATTACCTAATGTTATGTCATATATGAGACGTATTTACATATACTCAATGTATTAAACACCATATGAGGTGATATATACAATTCAATAATTATATGCATCATTAACAAACCAACTCATACAATATAGATTGATTTTTTTCATAAGTTGTAGTCGAGTTGGCTCTCTAGTCACAATGTTGGGACATCTCATAAGATCAAAACGAGACAGTTCATGAGTTGTATTTAACAAGCCATCTAATCGAGTTAGTTCACGAGCTTCACGAGCCAAACAAAGTAGAGCTCAAACTCTGCTCGTTTATTAACGAGCCAAGCTTTTTTTAATCGAACAAACTTTTATCGTATTCAAGATCGAGCCACTCACGAATAACTCGACTTATTACCTACCTTTGAGTATGGAGCTCAATTATGGGCCCATTCAGGCCCATTTAGTGTTTCCCGGCCCGGGTTATATTTACGAAGACCCTTCTCCTCTCATCTCGAGTCATCTCGGCCAATTTCCCGCAAATCTTCCAGTTAGTCAATTCCGCTTTCCCGCGGCGAACATTCAAGCAAAATTCAGGTACCACGGTTTCTAGGGTTTCTAAGTTCTGTCGATCTTCCGATCATAAATGTTAGATAGCTACAGAATCAGCGTTCCTGTTTCCCTTTCCTTCATCGGTAGGGTAGTTGACTATTCAATTCGATTCCAACCTGCGGAAAGCGTAATGGAACAACAATCTGGAGATTGTCCCGTGCGCTAGGTGCTCAATCTCTTCTAAAGCTGTTTTCTTTTCGGTATATGCAGCAGTCCGCTGATTTTCTTGAACCACAATCCACATGTTCAAAAACACATTTCAATCTGGATTCCTCTCCATTCTATACTGTCTCGGGTGAGTTGTGGGCTCTTTCTTTTTCTGTGGTAAATTATCCATCTTTTCCTTTTCTTTATGTGTTGATTATTTTCTTCTCTCTTCGTAGGAGCAAACCTCTGCAGATATGGGACAAAGAAGGTGAAAGCTTGATTGCCCCTTTCGTTTTATAGTTGGAGGCTTGCCCCTTTCCTTAGTTTGATGGATTTTGAAATGATAACCCAGCCTTGTTTTCTGAATCTGTTGCAGTTTCAAATGGGCATGTGAAACGGCCTCATGATGAAGACATACAGTCCAATGTACTGGAAATTGTTGGATCGAAAATCCAGTCCACTTACATTACATGCCCAGCTGACCCTAATGCCACACTCGGTATAAAACTGACTTTCCTGGTCATGCTCGTCAAGAACATGAAGAAGTACTTCACGTTTGAGATTCAAGTGCTTGATGATAAGAATGTCAGGAGACGTTTCCGTGCTTCTAACTTTCAAGTGTGTAAGTTTGCCCCATGTTTATTTATTTATTTATTGATGTGTTGGTTAGTTTCCTCTGGAACTCTCATTTTCTTGTCGGTGTTAGTGGAGTGTTACTAGTCTTGAGTTTCTTGTTTGAGAATGATCGGTCTGGTTTAGCCGTCATGAACGTGTTTCCAGTTGATCAGAGCTCTCCACTATAAATGATTGTTTCTCCTCCAAGTTTTTGCCTTACCTAAAATTTATGATTAATTTGTTTTAGCTGGTGAATTCCCCAATTGCAATGAGTTGAACGTTGAAAAAGATTGTGTGATATACACAAACTGATGGTTTCACAGAATGTTACCACTACAAATGTACCGATTTCAACTTCTTTCTTCAGGCTGTTACTCGGGTGAAGCCATATATTTGCACCATGCCGTTGAAGCTTGATGAAGGGTGGAATCATATACAGTTGAATCTGGCTGATTTTACTAAGAGGGCTTATGGGACCAACTACGTCGAGACTTTACGAGTTCAGGTGCATGCAAACTGTCGCTTAAGAAGGATATATTTCGCCGACCGGCTCTACTCAGAAGAGGAACTCCCACCTGAATTTAAACTCTACCTTCCAATGCAGCAGGTATAACCGATTTATTTTCGTCTGGGAAATCGGTTGTGCCCTCCCTAATTAATCACGAGTTCTCATTCTGCAATTGCTGGTTCAAATTGCAGAAAGCATGAGGATATTTTTGGGTCTCTGCTGCCGGATGTTATCAGTTCAACCATTGCACTGGGTTTCTGGCTTTCTCCTCCACGCTTTTTAAAGTGTCGCTGTTGGGTTTGCTATGGTACTTGGTAGATACAAGTATCACTTTTTTTTTTATGGGAATACAAGTATCACTTTTATTCTTCTTAAACTAGATGAATTTTGTGACTGTTGAATCAGGTCAAACAGTTTTGTGTCGAAACAGTTAAGACTCATAGGGATCGTTTGTTGGCCGTGTACTTTGGCACCTGATAACAAGAGTTAATTGGTTTCTCCAGCACTACATTGTTAATCTCGTCTCGTCTCATTTTGATATGAAATCAGGGAACATGCATCGCAAAATACATGGACCTATGTATTTCCTCATTGCCCTGGACTAAAATGCGATATGACTTATATATAGGTTTTCTGGTTTTGTATGAGCAACATCAACCGAGTTTGAAAAGATGAGATTGTTTAATCATGTTTGAAATGTTATAATTCAAATATATCATGGTTTGAAAAATTGTATTCTAAACATTACACGTATTTCATAATATTACCCACAAAGTACATTTTTTTTCTTACTACAACCCGTCGATTCCAATCTGCATAATGGAACGGTAAAGATTTCTGGTTATGTTATAACATATAAGGTGCTAACATAAAATGACATTACAGAATATTTGCTGTCATTATTATGTCATTACTGTTTGGGTCATGGTTGGAAGAGAATCAAGTGCCATCGTCACTGTTTTTGCCGACACATTCATGTCCGAGCTCTTACGCTTCTGGTATCACCACAATAGAGAGATAATTCAGCTCACAGCTTCTATATCTGCCTCAGCGTCGGTCTCCCCGTCACCCGTCCCTGTTTCTACTGCTTCGCCATCCTGTTCAAGTGGTCCATCGGTTTCGAGTTGCCCTGCTTCTTGACCCACATCAGTATCGGAGTTCTGCTTATGTTCCTCCTCCGGTGTTGGAGGACTACCACCATCTTGGGAAGTGTTTACAGTTGCTGCATCTGTCTCCATTGGCGCTGCCGAGGCTTCAACATCAACTGGCCTAGCACCTTCACCATCGTTCTCACTTGCAGCCTAATTAAATACATAGGCCAGACAGTGAGATAGGGTGGCTAACTAGTTTTGTTTTTTCAGTTAACCAGAGACCAAATCAGTTGCTATAACTAAAAACTAAAACTAACTGAAAATTCAAAGCATAAAAAGCAAGGATAAAATATAAATTTCCATCAAATTGACCCCACAAAAATCATGGAAACCAGTTTATGCCAGTCATTAAGTTCAGACTTCAGATGGATACCCATTAGATCAAAATGAAATATAAATACCTGAGCTTCTTCTGGTGGTTGTGGCCCACCCTTGGCTTCTTCCTTCTTGGCACGCTTAGATCTGTCACTCGGTTTAGCCTGGTACTTGGATCGGACATCGGGTGCCAGAATTTCTAGAGGAACTACTCCTTCAACACCAAGGTCAGTGAACTGCCAACAAGTTGCTTTCGTAGTAAGAAGGATAAACGAATTGGACCCCTGATTAATAAACTGACAAACATCACAGTCAAAACTTACTTTTGAAAAACCCTCGAGGTCCTGCCTTGCTGAGAACCGCAGACCTTTCCAGCAATATACCTGCATGGAAAATTGTTACTATATTTGTATTGACAAGCTCCGAGCTCTCCTGTCCAACTGTCATTAAGAAAAGAAAAACGATATGGCGAGCATATAACTACCCTGTTGTTCTTGTGGTGATATTCTGCTTCAATTCCAGCTGCCGGGTCCATCTGTTCAGAAAATGAAGAGAAGCACTGTTATCTTCCCACAAGGTGGGCATAAAACCAAAGCGGAAGATGTTATTTGAGTTTCAAAAAGCAGAAAAGCTTACATCTTCAGCCAAGGGTTTCCAATATTCCGTGATTGAAGGAGTCCGAACACGCTGAGGGTCAGTCAAAGCATTCTGTGGAGCATCAACCCAAGAGTTAAGTTTTTATGTAAGAACTAAGAAGTAATACTGAAGCAGAGATCCAAAACAGCACATTCGTGAGTTTTTACATACAGGATTTTGGTCTGCCCATTTCCACAATTGAGATAGTTCTTTGTTTCCCAACCTCCACCTCGGTCTACTGCAGGATTCAAAACAAACATGTACCACATACACGCAAGTGTGAAACAACCATCAGAAGCAACAAACTATTGGTAATGCTAAAGCAGGGATCAGTGTGTGGGGCATATTACCGTTTCCTATTTCCTTCCTGGACTGATTTCTTCTCTGCTGGTTGTTTTTCAAATGGAGGGCATCCGTCACGCTTCCACCAGACCTAACAGCACCAGCAGTGTGAATTATTAACTATCATATCCTCATTCTCACTAGATGATAAAAGAAAAGAAGGGAGGAGGGGGGGGGGGGGGGGGTGCAAAAGTAAGCCTATACCCAGTTTTTTTCACGTTCTATTATATGCTCAATCTTGCGAAGAAAATCTTTTCCTTTAGGAGGAGTCATCTCCAGTAATTTCTTCACACGCTCCTCGCAGGATTTTATCTCTTCTTTCTGCCATGTGCAAGAAAATTGAAGTGAGTTTATAGCAAGAATAATAGATGTTTGCAAGTTTCAAGGTACACAAAACATACAGGAAACGTCCAAACTAGAGTGAATAATAACAGATGTTTGCAAGTTTCATAGCCAAAGATCAGATGCAGATTCATTGACTTGTATACAGGTGGGTAGTGTCTACACATACTCTTTTGGGCATGCATGGCATGATAACTTGGATTCATCAAGGCATGTTATTTAAGGGATACAAATAAGCCAAAAGCTTACAAACTCGATAAGGAATAACACGAACCATAGTTTCAGAAGTGACATCCTTGTCAGTTTTACCAGGAGCCTACAAAGAAAATCGTAGTTCAATTTGATCAAATTACGAAGAAAGAAAATGTGCAATGTAGCAAAGCAAAATATTTGATAGCTCATTCTGAAACTTTCATCTATCATTACCTTAAGATAATCAAAAAGTATAAGGCACTGTACAAGAACATGGCGGCGGAAGCTCGGATCTTTTAACTGGAAAACACATAGATAGCTAGCTATATGTTATAACATATATATGCAATGTATGTTTGTATAACCAGTTACGTCAATACCAATTACCTCTAGTCCCATCAAGTTACTGCTAGTAAGATACTTTATGTTGAAAGATGCTGCCTCTTCCTCCAAATTATTTGCATCTCCTTCTTCCTCACTCAACGGTTGTGCTTCAAAGGTATCCAACACAACCTACAAATCAAAAGTCAATGGACTTGTATTGAAGCCAAAGCAGAAAGAGAGACCGCGAACCACAACTTCTAGTGAAGAATGTACCTTTAGACTAGATGTATATTTCTGCCACTTGGCTGGCGAAACAGTTAAGGAGGCAGGGTTGCAAAAGAATTCCTGGAACAACAGTTATGCAAGATATTTTAGCTTGGTTGAACAAAAAAAAAAGATATTTTAGCTTAAGAATAGAAAATCTCCACAGGTTGGGAACATTAACCAATTAAGCCATTAATAACTGCAATACATCTTGCGATTCCACATTCAGATAAACCGATGTCCTTTGCTCACCATCAAATGATTCCATTAAAATGTTTTGAAGTACCTGTAAACTCCACAATGTTTTGTAGTAGTTGAAGTCAATAGAAATGCCTACACAAAGAAGGAAGAGATAAGAAATACCGCGCTAAAAACACAAGCTATAAGATAGTGGAACCAAATAGCAATTTATTTGAAGCTAGATTGTACCTTCTGGTGGATCCTTTTCATACTTCGTCTCATTTGATGTGTTGAAAACTCCTTTAATGTTAACCGCTGTACACATGAAGTAAAGGACTGGATTAACAAATTCACTCTAGGCAATCCATGAATGGAGGAGATTGAGCATGGATAATAATATACCTGAACGCTCTGATAATGGGAAAAAGTGTGCGAGAAACATGAGAATTCGTCCACAGAAAACAACATCATTTGCCTGGAAAATCAAATCTCAAGAGATTATTACTATAAGTTCCAAATGGGCAACATTACTGCAACATGAAAGGCAACCATACCTATGCAAATTTCTTAAGAAGAATCAGAGAGAGAAAGAGAGCATGTAACAAGAATAAGAAAAGATTTCATCCAGATCTGCCCTTTGATTTTAAAAAAAAAATTAAAATAACCAAGAAAATATTCTACCATTTATGAATACTGAATCATGCTTAGAAGATCACAATAACTTATTATTTCTGAAACTGTAATATACTTTTCAGTCTTAGAACAATGATGTGATAGAGTCAATGGTGCAGTTCTCAGTAAATAAAGAGCAGCTTCTCAGAAAACCGATACGCATACAAGAAAGTTTCTTATGAAGATGTATCATGAAAAATTCAGCAATCAGTTAATGTACCTTTGAGAGGCGTCGAAGAAGTTGATTACAAGTCCTCAACATGACAAGTTTTCCACGAGCAAAAAGTTCTTGCTGAACATAAAGGGGAGACTTAATAAGCTCACACAATATAAACCAAGATAGTATCTGAAACATCATACAGCTCTTTAAATCACATACCTTCCCAAGTATGTCCTGTTTACCCTCTATGTAGCCAAATACGTCTTTGCAATTCCTCATGGTGGACATTTCAGTCAAGTCTTCCAACAGCTGAAATATCATTCCACCTTCAATATGTTCTCTCTGACAGAGATAAAGCACAACATCTGGCAGCACAAAAAAACTAGTCAGTGAGTTTTACGAAGGTTGGAACTCCTTGTTCCCTTGGTTTGTCTGAAAGTCATATGTCAATCAAGTGGAAGATTCTATATTTCAAGGAACTACCACTGCAACTCAGATACAGATTATGCATTGCTAATACATTACCTAAACCACTTATGCTGAAACCTATGTTTCGAAATTCCACAGAGTTGGTTGTTGTGCTACTGCCTATTTAAAACCACCTATGTCTCACAATCCCTTAGAGCTTATAGTTTTATGAACAGACCTAAGAGATGAGGGATTAGGCCCTGAGAACTTTCTTCGTTATCAATTGATTGCCCATACTGCATTATTGGCTCCCCTGACTGTGCTGCTGAAGACTGCCATTATCAAGGTTAAACATCTGAAGTCAACAACTGTAAAAGGCATTGATCGTAGATAACTCCCAAGCAACATCTATGTAAGAAGAAAAAAGGAAAAAAGTGAATACGCACCACAAGCTCTTGAAGTAATGTTCGGAGCATGTTTTCCAACAACTGATTCTCATCTTGCACTAATTTTGTTTGCCTCTGTAACCAAGTAACCAACCAAAACCGTTAGCCATGAGACACGCAGACCAGAAGCTTGGCAGAACTGAGAAGAACATACCTGAGGTTTGATAAACTCTTGAACAGTTTGAAGAGCGAAATTCTCAGGAGACCCAGGCTGAAGGATTGCTGTCTTGAACTCTTCCTGCAGAATTTGATCACCAAGTAAAGGGAGTCAAAAACATTAACCCGCTACAGATAGCGCAACCCTAAACCAATCCAGAATGCCGGAAGCAAGACTGTAAATTGAATAAACAATGTGGCACTCAAAGAGGTAGAGTTTCATACCATTTCGGAAAGCTCTCGATGGCCGGCGAGCGTCAGATAGGAAAGTAAATCCCAGGTAGCCTTTCGTGTCTTCTCTTTTTAGCTACAGAGAGGGCAGCTATCTCAAACTGATGAGTCGGCGAAGTTGGGAGAGGGGTAAGTCCGGCGACCGGCGGCGTGTAAGAAATAAGTAAACCAGCAAAAGTCAGATCTTGCGAGACATAATCGGCTTGGTGGATTTGGCCAAGGATTTTATGAATGATTTGGGTGAATGATGAATTTTGTTCAAAATTTATTATTTGTTTCAAGTATTTAGAAATAACAAATTTGTTGAATTACAGTTTAAATTCGTCGATTCTACGAATTTGAAAATTTTACCTCTAGGTGAGAATTGATCATGATTTTGAAGTTCGTCATTTTTTACCAACTTAATTCTTATATTTTATTTCTTTTCTTATATTATTGAGGGCAATAACAATGATAAAAAGGTAAATTTCACATCATACATGCAAATTTAATTAACAAAATTTATAATGAAATCCATAAAACAAAGAAAAGTGTTTTTCAAATCCATAATGAACCTAAAATTCTCAAATATTCATGGTTTTTCAAAATCTAACTCTTTTGCTTGTTGGATTTGAAAATGAGAGTTTTGAGTTTTAAAAACCTTTGGGGGTCGTTTGGATGAGAGATTTTAATAACGAGGGATTTAAGCCTAAATCTCTTATTTAAAATACCTGTAAATTTATATGTAGGATTTGTTTAAAATAACTTGTTTGGATCAAGAAGTGGAATTTTAACATCAAACTCTAAATTACATTATTATCCTTGTCTCCTTCCCCAGTCCCTTGTTCGTCTGTTCATTTTTTATTTTCATGCTCCACCCATCTATTATTGTGCATATCTCGATCTGCTTCAACCAAATCAAGTCTTATAAGTTGGGCATGTTCTTCTGTCTTGCTGGGTTTAAATCCAAAACCCATTCAACCATTATGAAATTGACCACCACAAGCATGCGCCGACACAATCAAAGGCGGATAGATCTTCAATCGAAAGGGAAGCCGATGAAGATTGAAACCACAAGCCAGTGCTGACACAATCAACCTGTAGGGACTCAAACACCGACGATATGGAGGGCTGAGAGGGGAGTCAAGCGGAGATTCGGCTTGTGAATCAGGGCTTTTTGGGGTCGATTTGAGATGGGCGAGGATGATTGGCGTTTGACTGTTTGTGCTTTCGATCTCCCGTCGTTCGGCCCGACCTTCCTCCGTGCTGAAGACGGGAAGAAGCAAAGGGCACAGAGAAGTCACGCGGAGGAGAACCAATTTCCTCGATCTAAAACCGAGCCTCCATATACAGAGAGAGACAAGTCAGATAGTGGCGAAGCTTTCTCTACTGGTCGGGACTGGATTTTGACGATTTGGAAGGGACAGAGTGACAAAGATGGACGAGAAGGCAAGATTTGGGTTAGGCAAGGGATAATTAGGGAAAAGAAATAAAAATAATGAGGGATTGTGAAATAGCTGATGGTGATCAGCTATTTCAAAAACCCACATTTGAAGGTTTTTAAAATCTCTAATGGTAAAAAACTCTCATCTTTCCAAACGCATGATTGTTTTAAAATCCTGCAAAATGAGGGAATGTTTTAAAATCACTCATAAATCTCTCATTACAATCTCTTATCCAAACGACCCCTTGAATTTATTATGGATTTGGAAGAGTACATTGTTTGTTTAATTTATTTTTATCATGGATTCATGATGGATTTGTATCACATTTTATCTTCCATTATCAAATCTCATATGAAATGTGGGATTTACAAATCTGTGGACCCCACAAATTGGTGTCACTTAGCAAATAATGAACTTGTGTCAATTCCATGATGTTTATCAAATCCATCACCAAATCCCACAAACAAACAATACCTAAGTTATACCAAAATCTTACTTTTTCAAATACATCAAGTAAACGACTTTTGTCCACATATGTGAAGCCCGGTAATTCCAAAGAATAAGAAGCCCATGTACTAGCCAACAAGTCCTTGGGCCAGGCCCAATGAGGACAGGCAACGTTTTAATATCTTGAAACTTGAATCTTCCAGTCTCTTGCTAGTTACCATAGTCGCTTCGCTCTGGCTCGGATCTCATCTGCGTTCCAGTTTTACACTCTCCTTCTACTTTCTCTCAGTTAGGGTTTAACAACAATCGCTTCGCTTCTCCAAGATCTTTCCTCACGCTGCTACTCCAATGGCGGCGCCAGCAGTCTCCCAACTGAGATCCTCGAAAACGGAGTCGTATGTCGACAACAAGAGGAAGGAAGACGTCCGCCAGGCTAATATCACGGCGGCCAGAGCAGTTGCCGATGCGGTGAGGACCAGCTTGGGCCCGAAAGGGATGGACAAAATGATTTCCACGGCTAGCGGCGAGGTGATTATCACCAACGATGGAGCTACGATTCTGAACCAGATGGGGGTTCTCCAGCCAGCTGCGAAGATGCTGGTCGAGCTCTCTAAGTCGCAGGACACCACCGCCGGTGATGGTACCACCACCGTCGTCGTCATTGCCGGTGCGCTTTTGAAGCAGTGCCTGTTGCTACTGTCTAGTGGAATCCATCCCACGGTAATCTCCGACTCTCTCCATAAAGCCTCTGTTAAAGCTGTCGATGTGCTAACTGCTATGGCAGTACCTGTTGAGTTGTCCGATCGTGAATCGCTTGTCAAATCTGCGAGCACTTCGTTGAACAGTAAAGTCGTCAGTCAGTACTCCACTCTTCTTGCTCCTTTAGCTGTTGATGCGGTGTTGTCAGTGGTTGATCCTGCCAAGCCTGATTTGGTAGACCTTAGGGACATTAAAATAGTGAAGAAGCTTGGGGGAACTGTGGATGATACCGAGATGGTTAAAGGTTTGGTATTTGATAAGAAGGTGAGCCATGCTTCTGGTGGACTCACACGGATGGAGAATGCGAAGATTGCTGTGATTCAGTTTCAAATATCACCTCCTAAAACTGATATAGAACAAAGCATTGTGGTGTCTGATTACACACAGATGGATAGGATTCTGAAGGAAGAGAGGAATTATATTTTGGGGATGATTAAGAAGATCAAGGCAACTGGTTGTAATGTGTTGTTGATTCAGAAGAGTATTCTTAGAGATGCAGTCACAGACTTGTCACTGCATTACTTGGCTAAAGCCAAGATCTTGGTTGTGAAGGATGTGGAAAGAGATGACATTGAGTTCATTACCAAGACCTTAAACTGCTTGCCAATTGCTAATATCGAGCATTTCAAAGAAGAGAAGATGGGTTATGCTGATCTTGTGGAGGAGGTTTCAGTCGGGGAAGGCAAGATTGTGAAGATCACTGGGATTAGAGATATGGGAAGGACTGCCACTGTTCTTGTTCGTGGGTCTAACCAGTTGGTTCTCGATGAAGCTGACCGGAGCTTGCACGACGCACTGTGTGTCATTAGATGCTTGGTCAACAAGCAATTCTTGATTGCAGGAGGTGGGGCTCCTGAGATTGAGCTGTCCAGGCAGCTCGGTGCATGGGCCAAAGTTCTGCATGGTATGGAAGGTTACTGTGTGAGGTCATTTGCAGAGGCACTTGAGGTCATCCCTTATACTCTGGCAGAGAATGCAGGGCTGAACCCTATTACCATTGTGACCGAGCTGAGAAATAGGCATGCCCAAGGAGAGATCAATGCTGGGATCAACGTGAGGAAAGGGCAAATTACAAACATCTTGGAGGAGAACGTTGTGCAGCCATTGCTGGTGAGCACTAGTGCCATAACTCTGGCAACAGAGTGCGTGAGAATGATTTTGAAGATTGATGACATTGTAACAGTCAGGTAGAGGTAGTTTGTTAAACAAGCAGAGAGTGGGTTTGAATGTGTGTCTGTTTCCTTTATCTATGCTTTCTGTCTTTCTTCTTACGAACAATTGTTGATGGTTGAGGATGTTGATCTATGTACTTTGTGTGGAGGGGACAAATTTTGGCTTGGGTTTCAGACGTTCTATGCTTTATTCTGGAGGAACTTTTTAATGTAGTTTTGCTGATATGCCCTTTCCCTTGTCATGTGTCTCTTGTTAATCTTTGTACTATTTGCATGCCTCCTGTAATAGTAGGACGTCATTTCATTCTGAGTTTCAGTAGTTTCCTTTTTATTGTGGCTTGAAAGAATCTTATATGCAAGAGTTGGGAGAAACCCGTAGAGGGGCTTTTGGGCATTTTGTGCCTCAATTGGCGCTTATGTACTTTGGTTCACAGAACGTGAATCTACAAGCTTAATCACTGTTTAATGGTAACGAACATAAAATCAAACTAAATCTCAATAGAAAGACGACAGCTATTTATCCACAGTAAATTCAAGTGGATAAGCGCTTTGGTGAAATCGTGTTGCTTTGACTAGGAATGATAATTTCAACTAATTCCATTTTACCCAATTTGTTTCACATGTTTTGGGTGGTTAATATCCGTCGTGGGCAGGACAGGTGGGGTATTGTCTTGAACAGACTATATTTGATTCGTCTCATCCTCAATCTGCCTTTTGCCTAAACTAATATGTAATTTTATTCAAGTTACTTAAAGTTTTATGTTTATTACTTCATATTTTAGCTTAATAATAAGGATAATGACTATTTATTAGTGAATTATTTTTTGAATTCTTTTTTATTAATCAAATCTATTGAAATACTAATAATTAACCAAATATTTATCAACATTACAAAATTTTAGCATTCTTCGGTTACCGTTAAAGGTATTATTGATGGAACTCCACATAAGCATTTATATTGGTGTCCACGTCAAACATTATTAAAATAATATAATTTTTACTTTATTTTAACTAATAACAAAAAATCAAAAACGAATCAAATCTTGGAGAGCAAAGAAGTTGACCTATGCTCGGAGACTGCAACTAATAAACTCAGTTTTATTAGGAGTTGTCCAGTATTGGATGCAACTCTTTGTGCTTCCTAAGAAGGCCCTGAAGAGGATACAACAGGTCTGTTCACATTTTCTATGGCATGGAACTGATGTTGGGAGAGCTAAGGTGGCATGGGATTTTGTGGCATTGCCAAAAAAGGAGGGTGGACTTGGGGTCAAAGATCTGGTGGCATGGAACCAGGCCTGCACAATTCGTATGCTCTGGTTGTTTCTAATGAAGGCTGGAGCATTATGGGTTGCTTGGATGTATGAGTATAAGTGCGGTCAAGGCGATCTTTGGTCTTTGAGGGTGCAGTACAGTAGTTCATGGACATGGAGGAGACTGCTCAAGCTGCGGGATATCATCTTGCCATGGATATCTCAGCAGGGAGGTGTTATTTTTTGGGATTCCCAAGAGATGTTGGTTTACTCAATTCGCAGAGTATGGGACACCTTAAGAAGAAAGGCACCAGTTGTCACCTGGTACAAGCTTATTTGGAGCAGCTGTTGTCCCCCAAGATATAGCCTAATCGCTTGGCTGTTAATGAGAAATGCAATTATTACCAGAGATAAACTGTTGAAATGGGGCAAAATTCGATATGCATCCTGTCCTCTTTGTCGTTTGGAAGTTGAGAGTCGGGATCATCTATTTCTCAGATGCTCTTTTTCCCTCAGACTTGCTACACAACTGCACTTCAGGTTTCTGAATTTCTAGAACTGGGATGCAATGGTGCAGGCCCTTCATGCAGAAATAGTCAGGAATGCGCATCAAGGGAAATGGCATGCTCTTGTGTGGTGCTTTACAGTGGAATTTGTTTGGAAAGAACGTTGCAAGGTAGTCCATGGAACTCCTAGGAGAGATCCTGCGGCAGTTGCTGATCATCTTCGGACGGATCTACAGTTTCTAACTTGTGGAAATAGAAGCTTCAGAGATGCACTTACCAGACTTCACTACTTATAGAATTTTTGTTTTGATGTTTCTGTAAGTAGTTTCTTATATAGAGAAGGTTGCAGGGATAGACTTGTGGGATCCTTTGTGCTCCCACTTTGTTGTATTGGTTCGTATTTGGAATAAAGCAACTGTTTAAAAAAAAAATCAAAAAGCAAAAATCTCATATTATCTGCTCCCTCTCTATATCCTCACTACGTCACACACACCCACTCCTCCGTCAACCTCCCCGTCGATCCCTTTCCAAACCCTTCGAATGACTCCACTAGTAGAATCCAAATGTTTTTTTTCCAAGTCGAGGTCGGGGTCTGAGAAGCAGAGTGATTGAGCGGTCGTGTCGTCGTCAATCCTTTTTTATCCATTATTGATGAACATCGGAGAGCAAATGCCCCATCGACAACGACAATCTTCATGATGTCGAGTTGATTTCCAATTCTAAGTTGCCTCCGACGGAGATCTGGGTTCTCGATTGAACGAATTCTACCATCAATTCTGCCAGCCTCGAGAAATCCCCCTGCTAGTCGTCGAAGAAGACGAGGAAGGAGTAAGGACGAGAGGCTTTTGTGGAGGTTCGGAAACGAGAGATGGAATTGCGTCGAGGTGGATAACGCCAGATTTGGACTAGGGATACAAGGTCGGCAACGAGGTAGGATTTGGCGGTGGCGATTGTGAGGAGGTGAAAGAAGAATGAGCGGATGGGAGCTTCGGGAGATCGATCAAAAATAATAAAATGTTACCACGTCACAAAAAAATTGCCACCTCAGAGCTCAATATGCCATCTCGGCATCGACAAACGGAAATTCGGACAGAAACGTAACGGTTGGCTAATATTTTGTATTTCAAAAGGTTTGGCTAAAAAAATAATCTGAAAAAGCTTTGGCTAATAATAGTCATTACCCTAATAATAATGTAGTAAATTGGCGAGAACCTCAATTTTTCTTGAAGAATTTAGCTACGTTTATCATTTATAGTTTGTTTCTTGATTTTTTTAACGTATAGCATATCGATTGTCATAGTAAAGATGTGCAGATTAAGGATGATCAACATGTAACTCATGTTACAGTATTTTCACCCAAACCACTTTACATGTGCATTGAGTAAGAGCTCCATACTCGGCCTTAGATGAAGATCGAGAAACAGGTCCATGTTTCTTTGATTACCAAACAATCAGACTTTTCCAAGTGAAATGAAATATATAGTTTTGAACCTTCTTATGGATCTAACATATTTTCACCTGGTGCATTCTTCAAGTATTTAATGATCATGTAAGCCATGCGCCAACTGGATGTGTTATGATGTAGGTGCAACTTAATATTGACACAACTAATGAACTTCAAATGTGATCACAAGAAGTGTTACAGTCAAGTAATGCAAACATCCAATAATCCTAATGTATAAACCATGATGTTCAAGTAATGGACCGTCATATGTTGATAAGTAGTACGTTTTACTATCAATGAGAGTAACTACTGGTTTGGAATTTGCAAATCAAGTATCCGGTAGCAGATTAGTGCAATACTTTTTTATTGAAAATATGTAAACCCTCCCTTGATATGGAAATCTAAACCAAAAAAGAAATAGAGATTGCCCAGATCACAAATTTTAAATTTTGTACCCAGGAAAGCCTTCAAAATGTCATACCTTGCAATTGCATATCATTTTCGACAATGATGATATCATTCACATAAACCAATAGAACAAAACTACACTGGTTGCCATAATGAATAAAGAGTAAGTAATCACCATTGGATTGAACATATCCAAATATGATCAAGGTTGAAGTTAACTTGCAAAACCACTTGCGAGAAGATTGCTTGAAACTATACAAAACTTTATGAGATAACAAACATCTCTTGGATGAGAGATACCATGAGGTATATCCAGGTATACCTCTTCACCAAGATCACCATGCAAAAACGTATTAGTAACATCGACCTGGTACATTTCTCAATTCTTGGCCATTTATATGGCTAGTAAAGTATTGACCAAATTTAACATGACAACATGTGGGTAAGTATCTAAGAAATCAATGTCATAGATTTGAGTATACTCCTTAGCCATTGGTCTAGATTTATACCTTTCTAGTGATTCATTAGGGCGGGACTTAATGGTGAACACTCTTCTATTTCTTACCGTTCTTTTACCTTTAGGATAAGGTACCACATCCCAAGTTCTATTAGCCATAAGGGGTTGTATTTTCAAATTCATAGTCTTTCTCCACCTTTCATCTCTCACTATCTCCGCAAAAGAACATGGCACGCAAGTAGGATCCACAACAAATATATACTTCATGTATCCTGATGACAATTGGTCATAGAAAATCCATGCAACCAATGGATGTATGTTTTTCATTATTAGTATCAAAGTTCATAATATAATTATTATATTTGAAAGGTAGACTTACATGTCTTGGTTGTTTTTTAGTGCAAATTAAGGAGGAGAATGCTATGAAGAATTGGAGGAACATTTTGTGTTGTATGCAATGGAAGTACTTTTGTGTACAAGTGGCAAGCATAAGGCCAACCTCAGCTATCTTAGCTTTCTACAAGATGATATGGTTGATGACTTCATGAATTACAACCGGTGCAAGCACGTGATCAACCATTTTAAGCATATTATAGCAAAATTGATCTTACCATATTCGTGAGTAAAAATATCAAGGTTTTATGCATTTATTTTTTGTTGCTTTGTGTTATTTATCTAACATTTAAGAAATGTAGTTTGATTTTTGGTGTTTGTGATATGTTTTAAGATATTTGTGGGTTTTCTTTCTCTTTTTTTTAGTGTGCTTTATTTTAGGATTTTTGTGGTGTTCATTAAGAAGTTTCTAGTATGCATTAAGAGCTTTCACGTATGTTTGAGAAATTTTATGGCTTGTTTATAGCTTTTGAGTCGTGCTTTTGAATAGTTGCGATTTGTTTTAAGATATTTGTGGTTTGGTTTATGTTTATTGTTTGGGGTGCTTTAGGATATTTGTGATGTGCATTAGGAGGTTTTTGGTTGATTTCTCTTATTTCTGATGTTATTTATAAGGTTTATGGTATGCTTTTCTGGTGACTAATAACTTTGTATTTTTAGTTTGCATATATAGTAGATTTTGATCTTGACCGGATGAAATGCCTTGTTAGTTTTCTATACCCACATGCAAGCACAAGAAGTATATTGCAGCAAATTTCAGGTTTGAGTAACTGTTGGCAGAGGAACACATAACAATTGGCAATAGGGATACAGCAAATGTGACATAAGCATTTGGGCTAGGGGCTGCGAATAAAGGTGGAAAGAAAAGAAGAAGAAAGATTGATAAACTTGATATGGAGAGGGAAGTTGATGTTCCAAAATTGACTCTTATTCACATTAACTTAGATGGCATTAAATTAGTAGAAGAAGTGAGTGATTTGTACTATATTTATGGTATTGTTTCTAGTGTCTGCGTATATACTTTAGGAGAAATATAGTTTGTTATGGTGTTTGTGGGCCGCTCTAAGATATTTATATGTTTTATTTCCCTTGTTTGTAGTGTGTTGGAATAATTGCAGTGTGCATTAAGAGGTTTTTGGCATGTTGGATAATTTTTTTATAGTAAGAGATCATTGTTTATTTAAGCAGATCAACTATGCCGTTTTGGATTGTAGTCGTGATGGATTTGGATGATAGACACTTTTGTATAGTATATATTATATTTGCTAATGGATGTGTTGTCCATATGTGTGTTTTGGTATGCTATGTATGCGGATGTGCATCGATTTTTCAGTATGTTAATTGTAATGGTTTGATTTTTGTGCAGTGTGCATCCTGGTGTTTGTGATTTGCTTTGTGAAGTTTGTGGTCTTCTTTATGATCTTTCTAGTGTGCTTGTCTCCCTTATGTTTCTAGTATTTTTTGTAAGAGTTTATTCATTATTGTGTGCATCATGAGATTCGTGGTATGCATAAGGAGTTTTCTAGTATGATTCAACATATTGTGGTATGCTTTTATGATAAATTTGACGTGCTTCATGAGCTTTGTTGTTTGCTTTTCTAGGTGTATTTGTGGTGTTGCGTTGTATGATTTATTAATGGTGTGCTTCATGATATGTGTGGTCTGTGTTATGAGAAATGTGGTGTTGCTTATGATGTGGCGGATCCAGAAATTCTACGTAGGGGGTGTCCTTTATAAAAAATTAAGTTAAATGAAATATTAGAATTGAATTAAATAATTATTAAATTTGAAAATATCTAACTAATAAAAGTTACATTAAAAGTTCAGACGTGTTTCGTGAAATGGTAAAATGCATTCGGTGTTTATACTGCTCAACAAATATCTCTCGACATATCCTACTAGACAAGAGTATCCCGTAATTGAGTTTAATCGTTAGGTTTTGAAAATAATTTGAGATAAGAACAACATTTCACTATTATATTTGTATCTAAAACACAATAACAAATGAGTTGTAGCGTAATTGAAAATATATTAACTAATAGTGTCAGTGTCTCAAGTTTAAATCACATAAATTACTACTTAAATATTATTTATACCAATACAAAACTATTCCCAAATTTTAAAGGTGTCCCACTACCACTTAAATATTTTTTTCTCATACGCAAACTACTATCGTAGGTTGAATAATCGTGTTTCCAAATTTTAGGGGTATCCCGGGACACCTCTAAACATGCATGTATCTGCCACTGTGCTTATGACTATGAGATAAGTGGTTTGCTTCATGAGTTTTGTTGTAAGATCTAGTGTTTCTAGCCTACTTTGGGTTTTTTTATGGTTGGTATGCTTCGGATTTTTTGGTTTACCTTACGAGATTGATTATTCATAAAAAAACCCTAAAATTGAACCTTCACATTCTTTAACGGTGTTTTTGGATATACAAGTGTATTTAACCAAAAATATATTGGAAAATGGATAGATTTGGCAAAGAACAACTTTAAAACATGGATATAAGTGGTATTCCGGAAAATTTGGATATTATTGGCACAACCGTGAAAGTTTTGGATATACAAGTGTATTAAACCAAAAATAAAACACTTCTAATAAAAATCAAGCCAAACATAGGCAATATTATGGACAACACCCCTAATATCCCAATAAGAGAGAACTAGATAAACTAGAATTCATAAAATGGGGAGACAGTGACACTTCCATCAGTTCCATGGTCGATAATGATCTTCTCGATATCCATGGGTTTCTTACAAACAAAAACGAAGCTTAGTGGCTAGATTGAGAATGAATGGAGAGTTGGAGGGCTGCGATGCAATTTACACTTTTGCTATCCAAATTCTGTAATTCAACGCAAAACGACATGTGCGCCGTGCATGCATCAAACAAAACGAAAGCCTCCGTCTGAACGAACGCCGTCAACGTTTCCCCCCGTTATCCGCGTGATAACGGCGAATCTCACCTCGAAGCGAATCTCGTAACGGTGGGAAAGTTTTGGCGGCAAAACAACCTACTTTGTGCAGCGTGGCGGCCTATTATTGGATGTCCATGTATGTATGGCGGCATGTCATGTATGTAGAACCATAGGTCATGTTGCATTTTCCCGCGCTTGTTAGTAAGAAGGAGGATAGAGAGATGAACTTGGCTTCTCTTTTTTCTTCCCTCAAAAGACGCTTCCGTTGTTAGAGATAGATAGAGATTAGAGACAGAGAGTCAGCGAGAGGAAAAGGGAATAAATTTTGGAAGCTTAAAAGGCGCTTCTTTGCCGGATTTCTTGATTCGCCGCCGGAGGGCTGTCGTTGTTTCTGGGCGATTGCGGAGCTAGGGTTTTGTGGTGGATGGATCTGGAAATCAGCTGAGATTTTGAAGACGTTCTTGATTCGGGAGTACTGCAGCCGACAGACAATCTGTGAGTTCCTAGTTTAACCTGTTGCTGTTTGTAGGTTTGAATTCTGTTCGCCAATTTGTGCGTTTGCCATGAATGAGTTGGTCTCCCGGAATTGCTTTAGACTGAAATGCGGCGTCTTTTTTGAAGTAGTGTTCAAGGTATGAGTTTGCTATTTAGGTTAGAGATGTTTTTTCGGGTCTGAATTTGTTGACTAGGGTAGAGTGAAAGATTAGACCTTGTTAATTGCTGACTGTGCTGCAGCTGGATACTTTCTTCTTTTTCCTTTTATGGAATTGCAAAAACTTCTCATGCATTTGAAATCCTCTCTTCACATTTGAGTTTCTGGGGTTTTCCACTAGCTGGATATATTGTCCTTTCCTCGGTAGCCGGCATGTGCTGTGTGTTCTCTATAGTTGAGTTGCCTGCTCACAGCCCTCTCGGCTCTATGCCTTCTGAAGTTTTCCTTAATGTGTTGCACTGCTGTATTGAATTTCTAGTTTTTCCTCGGGACTGTTGTTCCATTGGTTCCAGTTTCGTGGGTGTATTTTGTTTGACTGCAACTTGCTTGTCTAAAGCCAATGATGGTTTCTCATAGGTTATCATTTCCACCAGCTTCAGATATGGAAGATATATCGTCTTCAACTGCAGTGTCCATTGATCTTCAGAGTGATGGAGGGCAAAATGATGCCATCGAAGTACGGTTCATGGCGCTATGCAAGGTAAAAAGCTTGAACTGTTACCCTTTGACCTTGGTATTTAGGCTGTCCTCTATTTTCTCGCCTGTTCACTTTGTGACTGTTTTGGTTGTTTTAGGTTTGTTGTTTTCTGATTGAATTGATATTTTCATGTGGTGACAGAGTGCCTTATCTTTGGAGGAGAATGCTTATGCACAGGCCATTAAGATTTTCAAAGAGACAAAGTATCTGACATCGTCAAACACTTCAGCAGTTGGGAGCGGAACGGTGAACTTCTTTGACCATGTGCTTTAAGTGATACATTGCTGTCCTATATCTTTGTAGATATAATTGAAAGTGCTAAATAACTCCTTCAATATTGCAGCCTGAAGAAATCGAAAGATTTTTGTCTGCATTTGTATTATACTCTGTCAAGAGGCTGTTGGAGTCTACTGGAGATAAGGAGCACCGCGAGCAGCTGTCCCATGACAATGGATTGACTTTGTGCCGGATATTGAGATCCGTGAAGCTGAAGTATGCTTTCATTTTGAGCTGGTAGAGTTTGGGCAGCTTTCACTTCTGTATTTACTTATGGCTCTTATCATCTTGCTTTATCGAGCAGCTTTTTGGACTTCTTCAAAGAGCTGCCTCAATTTGTCGTTAAAGCTGGCCCTGTGCTGTGTAATCTCTATGGTGCGGACTGGGAGAAGAGACTCGAGGTACTGATTCTGAAGATAAACATGGTTACATGTTAAAGGGATGGTACCTAGAGCATTCATTATTCTTGTATATGCTTAAAATTTTACGCAAGTTTGCTTTTTATACTTTCTTTTCAGGCAAAGGAGTCTCAAGCCAATTTTGTCAACTTGAGCACTTTAAGCAGGTAGGTCTTTGTCTTTCATTTGTTGCTTGGTGGTTCATATACTTTCAATATGCTTGGGGGAGTATGTAACGAAGCTAGAATACCATATCTTGTGCATAGCATAAACTTTTTTCACAAAGGCATATAGATTTTTCCTTGGGATCTGATTGTAAATGTATTTTAATGTGGGCTACTGCTGGTAATTTCTACAAAAAGGATTGTCTATGTGGTTGGTATTATCTTCTAGCCTACAGGTTTTCTTGGATTATTCAGATGATTAACAATGTGTTCTGTTTGATGTTAACAGGCACTACAAGCGTGCGTATCAGGAACTTTTTTGGGCAAATGATACAAGTGGTGGTGACAAGGAACCACCAGTTTCCAGTACCATGTCATTTTCCTCGGACTTTTATCGTTTTGGATGGTTGCTCTTTCTGTCCCTCCGAGTCCATGCATTGAGTCATGTTAAGGACCTAGTGACTTCCATAAATGGATTGATTTCTGTGCTGGTTGGTACCTTCACCTCTTTCTTCTGTGAATAATACTTGGATTGTATTTTGCCCATTTATGTGTCTAGCAAGTTTATTCATAATGTTTCTTCATAATCCTACTGAGTTGTATAAAATCAACCAGGCATCTGTGTAAGATTACCGTATTTATGATTTGTGGATATGTTTCTTACCTTTTTCATCTCCTTCATCAGGCTATTTTGATTATGCATCTCCCTGTTCAGTTCAGGAAATTGAGCTTGAAGGATGAAGGGTGGTTTGGTGATTATCTTGTCTTGTTTATTTTATTTTTTACCTCGATTTTCCCCTTATTTCTCTGGGACTTGCATGTTTTATTCTGAAAAATTGGTTTCTGATCTTGTCTATGTATATCAGCTAAGAGAGGCGAGAAGGGCGTTCATTTGCTTGCATCCCTCTGTCAGAAGTATGATACATCAGAGGATGTCCTCAAGCAAATGATGGAGAAGACCAATAGTTTAATAGCAGAGATCTTGAAGGTACAACCTCAGGTGGCCTCTGAGTGTGAAAGTGAAAGCTTGATAGACATTGATACAGGTACTTCGATGTTGTTTATTTGTAGCTTAGATTCTTAGCGTATAAGGAATACCAGTCTATTCTTACTATGATACTTATAAAGGCTGGTTTTCATCCATGCAGAGGGTTTGATATATTACAAAGGTTTGATGGAGGAATCTTGCCTGAAAACAAGTTTGAATACCTTGGAGAAGGATTACAATGAGGCACTCCATCAGAACGGTGATCTGGATGAGAGAATTTTCATCGACGAGGATGATAGCTTACTTGGTTCAGGAATTGCATCTGGGAGTACCAGCGATAATTTAACGGGAACTAAGGTGAGTTTTTGTTGTTGCAGAGTGCTCATTCCTTGAAACAAACGTGTACTAACTTAGTTTTTGAGTGCTTTGTCTTTTTGTACTGTGATCTTCACTAATTACTGCTCTTGAGTTTGTTTCCTGTAGAGAAAATTTGATCCAATATCTTCACCAGCAAGAATGATGACAAGCCCACTTTCTCCTTTCCGTTCTCCTCCACCTGGAAGTCTATCTGGTGCAGTCTCTAGGATGGCTCCGACACCTGTAACCGCAGCAATGACAACAGCAAAATGGCTCAGAACAGTAGTATCTCCATTGGTGCCTAATCCATCACCAAAACTGGGGCGCTTCCTTGCATCATGTGATAGGGATGTGACAAATGAGGTGGTTCGAAGAGCACTGATAATATTAGAAGCTATATTCCCGAGTAGTGCTCTGGGAGAGCGTTGTTTGACTGGAAATCTCCAGACTACTAACCTCATGGATAACATATGGGCAGAGCAAAGAAGATTAGAAGCTCTCAAACTATATTACAGGGTTTTGGAGGCAATGTGTACTGCAGAGGCCCAGATATTACATGTGGCTAATCTGACATCTTTGTTGACCAATGAAAGGTTCCATAGATGCATGCTTGCATGCTCTGCTGAACTAGTTTTGGCAACACATAAGACTGTTACGATGTTGTTTCCTGCTGTACTGGAGAGAACTGGCATTACAGCTTTTGATCTCAGCAAGGTGATAGAGGGTTTCGTCAGGCATGAAGATTCTCTTCCTAGAGAATTGAGGAGGCATTTAAATTCCTTGGAAGAACGACTTTTGGAGAGTATGGTCTGGGAAAAGGGTTCTTCATTGTACAATTCTCTCACAGTTGCAAGACCTGGACTTTCTGCTGAGATCAGTCGCCTTGGGCTACTGGCAGAGCCCATGCCATCTCTGGATGCAATTGCCATCCACATGAACCTTTCTTCAGCAGGCCTGCCCCCCATTCCTCCTTCACAGAAGCATGAGAGTTCTGCAGGCAAGTTTTTACTCTTGTTTTCTTAGCTTCCAAGCAACTCAAGGGTTTACTATATTCAAGTTAGGTGCATATAATCATGTAGTGGTTCAGCCTGACATCCATTTCACATTATTTCAGGTCAAAATGGAGATATTATGTCTCCAAAGAGACCTTGCACAGAGTACATGAGTGTTTTAGTAGAGCGGAATTCCTTTACATCACCAGTAAAAGATCGCTTACTCGCCCTCACTAATCTTAAGTCAAAGCTTCCACCGCCTGCACTGCAATCTGCATTTGCCAGGTGATTATTGTGAATTATATAGTAAACTACCCATATGGATTTATGTTACCGCTCTTCTTTTTATCTGAAAAATCTTTGGTTGATATTGTTCAAGTCCAACCCGTCCAAGTCCTGGAGGAGGAGGTGAAACATGCGCCGAAACAGGGATCGACATATTCTTTGGGAAGGTAATTGGGACATACCTTTCTCTATTCAGACTACTTAATAGATCCACCTAAAGCGATAATTGGCCTGTACTTCTTCCCGGTTTCTTTTTCTAGAAATAACTACCAGGTATTTCTTGTTATTTCCTGACTACGTTTTGTCCCCATGTTGGGATTGCCTTAGATAAATAAGCTGGCTGCTGTCAGAGTCAATGGCATGATTGAAAGGCTACAACAGTCACAACAGCACATAAGAGAGGATGTGTACAGTCTATTTCAGCAAGTACTCATCCAACGCACATCTCTCTTCTTTAATCGCCACATTGACCAAATCCTCCTTTGCTGTCTCTACGGAATTGCTAAGGTTTGGCGGCTGTTGCATTAGCTACTGAAAAGACAGTATCTTACTTCGTTTTTCCTCATATTTCGATCTCTGTTTGCAGATATCAAAAGTAGAGTTGACTTTTAGGGAAATCATTTACAACTATAGGAAGCAGCTGCAGTGTAAGCCACATGTATTTCGCAGTGTATATGTTGACAGGCCAACAACACGCCACAATGCAGTATGCTCCTAATACCCCTAGTTAGATTCTTTTATTTTACTTTAATCCACGTCTATAAGAACAATTCGAACGGTTCTATAACAGAGGACAGGGCAGGATCATGTAGATATAATTGCGTTTTACAATGAAATTTTCGTCCCTGCTGCGAAACCTCTGCTCGCAGAAATTAGTTCAGCTGGAACAAGTACAAAAGCTGATCAAGGCGTCGAGGTCAATAGTAAAAAAGATGGTAGGATTTTCGTAGAAGCTTCATTCACTGGTAAAAATTCTGTTTTGTTTGATGTTTCTTATTTCCTTGCTCTCTCTCTATTTTCTGGTGGGAAATCAGGTCAATGTCCAGCATCACCTAAAGTATCTCCATTTCCAAGCCTCCCTGATATGTCCCCAAAGAAAATATCAGCGGTTCATAATGTCTACGTCTCTCCACTGCGAACTTCCAAGGTACTAAAAAATCCATGATGCATCAGCACAAGTTCTACTGCATTGTACTATGAAAGTGAGGTTCCAAGACTTCCATTCGGTGCTTGAACCATGAATGCTTGCTGGTCGTAGGCTAGGTCTGATTTCATTGATAGCATGATTCGTATTCTGGATGGACTGCCTGAGACCGTATTATGAACTTTGTTTCTGCTTAGGTGGATGCTTTGGTATCACATGCTTCCAAAAGCTACTATGCTTGCGTTGGTGAAAGCACTCATGCTTATCAGAGCCCATCCAAAGACCTGGCTGCCATCAACAACCGATTGAATGGGTATACTCATTTGCAACTATCATGTTGCTTGCTTCCAGTCATACTTACAAAATCATATATATTCTCTTCACTATACTAATTCCAACTTGCTCTCAACCTTCGTTTTGGCTCATCCAGCAACCGGAAGGCAAAAATGTCACTTGCATTTGATGGCGCCGATGTTGGACTGGTGAGTGATTCCATAGTAGCTAACAGCCTCAACCTTCAAAATGGAAATCATACAACATCCGCAGGCGCTCCTTTGAAAACCGAGCAACCTGAATCTTAGACTCTGTTTGGTCTCCTGCACTTGGGGCTCTCTGCTGTAAATTCGCTAGTTTGCTCACCCAGGTGCTTCTGCTAGTTTTTGGTATACTTTAACTACGGCGACAGTAGTAAGGCCGGGGGAGATGAGGTATGAGCGGTTGAGTTTATTGTTGTAGAGTGGCCGCCACCATCTTCTCCAGTGTTTTCGTCTTCACTGTTAGGTAGAGATGAACGTATCGATTTAATAAAAACTATACGTTAAGCGCTCATAAGATCCTGCTGTTTGTAATTTATGTCTGGTGTTTACTTAAGCAGTGAGCTACTAACTTTGATATCTCAGCCTGAACCACTTTTCTGTTTCCATGTCTATGCAAGCACAAACCGATTAATGTAGGTAGGGGTGGGAAACGGTGTAGTCTGGACCAGTGTCTATGGTCTAGGCTCAGAGGCTGGAACATATATCATGGATCAAACCATATATTATATGGTCCAGATCAGATTACGCTTGTGCGGTCCGGTATGGTCTGAACCAAATAGACAATGTTAAAAAAAATCAGCTCTTATTCTACCCTCCAACCATTCGCCGGTATTTATAAAAATAAAAATTATAGTAACCAATATGCTAGTGAAACAAAATTTAGTGATCGTAATTAAATTGGAAGAAATATATGAGAGAAGTTGGATTTTTCAATTTTCAAACTCTCTCTCCAGTCTCCAAAGCTCTATCCAGTATCCATTAAAAAAACAAACATCAAATAGTTTTGTTTTCCTCTTCCTCTTTGTGCTATTGCTTCTCTCCCTCTTTCGGGTGATCCGGAAGGTTCTCGCGGTCGATCACCTTCGTGATGACGTCGAGGTCTTTTTGAACCACTAAGATGGTCGCTTATCTCTTAATAATTTTTCTTATCTCATCAAGGTGAATGAATTTTTTCCAGTGTTTATCTTTTATCGACACCATAGTCTAGACATTGTCGGTGAATATTATTTATGAATCTTTCTGGTTTTTGTGTGGTTCTTTGAAAATTAGATAACGCATAAGCAATCATTTGTGCAATATGTTGGCTCTCAACTGGATGAAGAATCAACTAACTTTGTCTTCAAATACAAAAATTGAGGTTTAATTTAGTGTTATTTTGGTCTGAATTAGTAGGTAGTGTGTCGCGGTCTGTTACGGTTTACTGCGGTAGACCGCGGTCCAAACTTCAGACCACAAGCTAAAAGAGGAGACCATAAACCAAGCCAAACCACAGTTTTAGTCTCACGATCCAGACCAAACCACACGATATGGTCTAAACCGTGGTCCTCCATACCATTTGGTCAAGATTCCCAACCCTAAATGTAGGAGTGATGGATGAGCCAATCCATTTTCCTCATAACCATTGAAAGGTTGCTTGAAATCTAACCAACAAAACCTCTCCTATAGTAGTCCTTTTAGCTTTCAGTTTAGTTGTTGTTTCTTCCTTTGTTAGTTTCGTTTGACTCAATAGTAGTTTAGATTTGAGTAGTGAAAGACTTAAAGGACATAATGGAATACAACCTTATGCCGCTATAATACATCGTTTAACTAGGATGCACTTGATTTGGTAAATTGTAGTAGTGAGTAGAAAGCATTAAATTTTATGAATTGATAGAATTTTTCATCAATTTTTTGGCTCATTTCTCTAGAGCTTTTCCCCCCGGTGCGATCATATCAACACCAATGCACCGGATCTCATTAGAACTCCGAAATTAAACGTGTTTGGGCGAGAGTAGTACTAAGATAGGTGTCTAGGGATTTTAGGTTATTACGAAATGCTTAGAATGACTTCTTTAGTGATGTTGTTTGTGTTTGTTGTACTTCTCCTTGTGTTTCTTTATCTGTTGTGTTCTTGTTTTTTTCTTGTTGTTACCACATCCTACACTTTAATGGTGGTTGTGTTTGTTTGTTTCTTTTGTGTTTGTGTTCATAGTTCTTGAAGATGAATCCCAATGGCAACTACACCATGTGAGGGTGGCAATCAAGAGTTTGCATTTCAAGAACAAGATACCTTCTATCATCACCAACCACGTTCAATGGAAATCTAAGCTCCTACCAAATTTCAAGATTGATATCCTTCACAATCCAAGAAAAAAGCCGAGTTAAAGCTCTTAACGGAGAGAATTGTAGTCGAGAGTGAGATGGCATATTACCTCCACAACCAGAGGCAAAGAGCCAATCGGAACATGCGGCAGAGAGCTTCGTTATCTATTGTGAGCCATTTTTTCTTCCAATTTGTTCTTTGTGCATTTATATCATCTATGAATAGTTGTATTCCTTTGATGCCTTTTGTGGCAGTTTGGCATGATTTTCAAACTTAGGCATAATGGAGGACAAATGTAGAATTGGGTCAAAATACACTCTACCACAAACCAAGTAAAGAAGATGGATTTCACATTTCCAAAATCCAGCATTGGCCCATGGCAGATCTAGACCGCCATGTGTTGAGGATATTAATTACTTAGTCAACAAGTAATTAATTCCTTGTCCTTCAAGTCCCTTGTTTCCTTGTTCATGTAAAAGAAGGAAACTTGGTGGTCGTTAGGGTTTTAACCATAGTCTATCTCTATATAAGACTTAGCTACGAACCTGTCGTAAGCAAGCCGTCACAATGTAGTCCCTAATAAAATATCAGTCGTGAGCTCGTTCCGAGCTCACCGTGGATTAGTCTCGATCAATCAATCGATCGAGGATACCACGTAAAATCTTGTGTTCTGTGTTCGTTTCATCTTCCGCATTATCAAATTCTTCATGGTATCAGAGCGAAACTCGATCCTTGCCTAGGGTTTTAAGCTTCCGCAGTCAACCGTTGTTGCCTCTCCGTGGCAGCATCGAGGTCATCGCTTGAAGGTCACAAGTTTTGTCACATGTCCACAGGAAACAAATCTCAAAAGTTATGAAGTTGGAGATAATCACAACCCAAGTATTGGTGTCACTTCAATTTTCAGTATTGGAGAAAAGACAGTTTTCGTCAAGAAATCAAGTCAAGGTGCGAGGCAGTCACGATCAAAGAAGCGATCGTCCCCTCCGCATTCAGAATTGGTCAAATTTGAGTCCTCACCATTCTAACTTTCAAGCTGGGTATTCACGTCGTTCATGCTCCAGCTTGAGGGGGAGAATATGGAATCATCACACGTAGGTCGACTAGTTCAGTAATCAAGTCGACCGCGTGTATCTATCAATCATGTTGCTCGGGGAACCACAGTCAGCCGTGCAAGTAGAAGTCTCCAAAGTTAGCAACGCAATCATCAGTCTTCAATCTCATCCAAGACGTCAAGGAATTCCGCCATACTGAGTTTATTGTCAAAGAACTGGGTCAAGTATGGAGTAGGATCAGTCTCATCCACGACGTCTAGGAGTTTCACCATGCTGAGTTCACTGTCAAAGGAACTGGGTCAAGCATGGAGTAGTTTCATCATTTGTCTACCCCTCCCGCAAGCGAACAAAGTCACAGCCAGTTGGATCGTCATTGCCAGCAAGAGGTTGTTTGAGTGTTGTTCAGTTTCAAGCTCGACATTCTTGTCATTCATGTCTTCGCTTGAGGGGGAGTGTTGAGGATATTAATTACTTAGTCAACAAGTAATTAATTCCTTGTCCTTCAAGTCCCTTGTTTCCTTGTTCATGTAAAAGAAGGAAACTTGGTGGTCGTTAGGGTTTTAACCATAGTCTATCTCTATATAAGACTTAGCTACGAACCTGTCGTAAGCAAGCCGTCACAATGTAGTCCCTAATAAAATATCAGTCGTGAGCTCGTTCCGAGCTCACCGTGGATTAGTCTCGATCAATCAATCGATCGAAGATACCACGTAAAATCTTGTGTTCTGTGTTCGTTTCATCTTCCGCATTATCAAATTCTACACCATGGCCCACTAAGATAAACAAATAACCATTTTTTATAGATGATACGAACCTCAAGCCCAGACCAACGCAAACCCCTTAGACAAAAAAAAAAAAAAAAAACGTTAGAGCCTATAAATACATCTCTTAGCAACCATATTCTAATATCTTTGTATCCTTGATTCGAGGATCAATTTTATACTCCCACAAACCTAGTTTTGCAACCTTAGAAGGAGATGACATCCCTAGACTACCACGGGGAGGAAGATAGGTTATAACTCTTATATGGTGATCTTGTATATGTATTACGCTCCTTGTGGCTAGTACACCATTGTTGTTAATGTTAGTGGAACTGACAGTGGTTCTAGTACTCCATATTATGATTTGGATATATTTCTATTCAGTTTTTCTTCTTAATATCCTTAGTATGGCCTCTTTATTTTTGGAACTTAACTCAAGAGAGAAATTTGTGGTTGTTTTCTAAATCTAATGTAAAGGAGAAAGGAAGACTCTAATGAGTTGCTCAATGGGGTGGAAAAGCAAGGAGAACTACTTGACGTCGTATAGATTAAACTTGCTCTCCTTGTTTGCATACAAGCAGAAGCATGGACAAGCAATGAAGAGGTTGCGAAGGAAGAAGAAAGCAAAGAAAAGGAGGAGTTTGAGGTTGTGGCAAAGGGGAAGAAGTTGTATATAAGGAAAGTGGAGTCCAAGAGAAGGTTGGGGTTGAGGTGTATGAAGATGTTATTAGGAAAAAGTCAAATCCAAGATTTGCACCTAATCTCGAGAAAATCCTTGAGTTAGACCCTTTTGCAGTGCTTCTTTGGCCAAAAAATATTGACCCCTCTGGGTGGATACAACATCGGCGGTCCCATACTTCTACACTTGGTTGATTGGGATTAAGAGAAGGAAGAGGTTGTCAAAATCGAGATTCTATGTAAAAGCGTTTTGGTGACATAGAAAAGTAAAACTGTAAGTTTTTAAGTTTTAAAGCGTAGATTTTGACTACACTTGTAACTAAAAGGTGCGATTTTACGTAGAAGCGTTTTGGTGACCAAAAAACGTAAACACGTAAGATTTTAAGTTTTAAAAAGCGATTTTGACTACATTGGAGGCTACTAAGATGAGGTCTCAGAGGTGGTGAAACCAATCCTTCCAATCATTTGAGTATTCAAGGCCAAGAGAATCGATGTTATAGACTATGGTTATGTTCGTAGAAGCCCACAATTAATTATATGCTATCATAACTTCCTTGTTCTTCATTGATTAGGTAATGGCATGAAGGGAAACACACATTAGCTACTTAAATCTCTATTGCAAAAGGCACATGCACGGGTAGAGAGAGGCCTTAAAGGAAGGGATATAGAGTGTTACAATAGACGAACCATTGATGCATGATATGAATGAGCCATATTATGGATGATAGTTTTTCAGTTCCTTTCCCTTCTAAAATAACTTATATTTACT